GACTCTTTTTTTGTTTTTGTTTTTCTTTCTGCCTTCCCAAATGAATGAATCACGCGCGGTCCCGCGGCGCGGCCCCCTCTGCTTCGGGTGGACGGCGGCGCCGACACACAACGTGTTATTGAACCCTCTGCTTATCTCGGTATCATACATAACCCTGTCTCCACGCCCCGCCCCGCCCCAGCCTCCTGCGCGGCGTGGCGCGGCGTGGCGCCGTGTGCTGGCTGCACTAATTGGAAAATTAGGGGAGTCTTGCGGGGTGTCGGGTCGGACTGGGTCGTCGTGTGGTCCAGGGAGGGCCTTCGGGACCAGGCCGCCGCAGCCCCGGGCAGGGGCGGGCCGGCCGGCGCCGCCGCCGCTCAGGGTCGTTGGCCCTCACGCCCCCACCGCCACCCTACCGACACCCCCGCCAAGAAGGGGGAAACATGTTCGCGTAGTGTTTTCCTCGATCAGTACTTGTAACAAGCTGTAGTAGGTCCATAGACAGACCCGCGACTGACTCCTATTCTTTGTTATTGTTACAAAAGCAAACTGATTTCATGTTAATGCCACGTACCAGGTACAAAGTATAACTGTTTCCGTTCTGTGTTTCTCCTTGAGCTCCATCTTTTGTTATTTTCAGAATGTTGCACACCTTTGGTCACTTGCGATTCCCGGAGTCCCCGACAACACTCACTCCACGATCGGCGGTGTGTGCCCGCGTTTCGGACGATATACGGAGCGCGCGATCCGAAATGCAAACGGCCCAGCCCAGCAGTCCACCCGCGCCAGGTGGGCGTGGCGCGGCGGGGCGCGGCGCTGCTGCAGCGCGGGGCTCGCCCCCAAGCACCCAGTCGGATCTCATAACGACATAATAGGTGGATGGGCCCGGCAGGGCAGGCCGGCCAGGCCTCTGGCCAGGCTGGGCTGTGGGCCGGGAGGGTCCAGGGCGCGGCGGCGGCGGCTCAGACACCCGCAACATATTTCATGGCGCCTGATTGCGGTGCAACGCTTTATTTTATTGCTCTCTTTCATAAATTCGTGTAATTTGTGTAATTTGCTTGGCCGAGGAGGAGGAGGAGGAGGAGGTTTTACTCACCGTGTTGGTGCGCTAGGGTTGTGTGTGTGGCGATCGCCCTTTGTTTGCTGTCATTACGAACCAAAAGGTTTTAGTCGGTGTGATTGTCGTTAGACGCGCTTTATTTGGGCCAGGATGACGACGCGGACGTGCACGCGGCCGGCACAGGGGGCGTGCCGACCCGCGGGGACAATGCCGAGCAGTTCCGCTGCGAATACCTTGCGCGGTGTGCACTTGTGCGCGCAAGCGCGTAGCTGTACGCGCTTTTGCAGTAAGTGTTCTTCCAATCCAATATACCTGCAGCAGTGTATGTATGTGGCTGACCCTGCTGGAGTATGGATGAGTACAATTTCTCGTCCTGCTCCGTGTCATGTGACCCTACGCCAACCCGTTAAAATGGTCAACATCCACGACACGCAAGATGAGATTTAAGACGGGGGCGAGGAGGAGCGGAAAATGAAAGAAAAATAAGCAACAATCGTAATAGCAATAATAACGTTGGCGAGACGGCGCATGACAATTACCGGGGAGCAATACGCAATGCGACGTTACGCGCCGCGTCACGCAGCGTCACGCCCGCCTGCGAATAAAGACGCGTCACGCAGTTTACTTTCGGACTTCGCCTCATATTATGCGTTTTATAGCCCGGCGAATTTTCATCCGATGTCGGTCGGCTGCAAGCCATGCTGTGTGCTTCGTTTTGCGTGGCGTCTGGCCTGGCCGCTGCACCGCCCCCCCTCTCTCTCTCTCTCTCTCTCTCTCTCTCTCTCTCTCTCTCTGTCTCTCTCTGGCTCTCGCTCTCTCCACCCTCCCGCCCTCCCCGCATTGCATGCGCGAGAGCGGGCCGCCCGGAGAGCAAGCGACGCAGATATTCGGACGGAGTGTGAGGGAGGTGACTTGCCCGCAGGGCCGCGATACCGGCACCTCCGTCAGCTGAACACTGCTGAAAATATAAACATGCAGGCTGTAACACATAAAAGGAACCAGAACCGCCGTACGGGCCATAAGTTTTCCGGGAAAACTCGGGGAAAACATTTGGACAAACGGCGAATATTACTTGTTAAATTATGAGGAAAATGACTTTGAAAATAAATCAAGTTTTGGTTTTCTTCGACAGGACAAGCAAGAATTTTAAAACATTCACTGTGAAAAATAGTAGGAAGGTTTACAGGAAAATTTTCTTTGGCGCCAGTTGTGAAATTACAATTCGTAATCGTAAAAATGCATGCAGTACGTACCTATCGACTTACTTTGAATCCATTGGCAAGTAAAAAAAATTACCACTAAAGTTATAATTGGAGTTCACAAAATATTTGTAAATTCACGACGATATTTTTCTACAGTTTTTTCTTTTGTCAAACGGGAATTCATGACGCAGATCGTAAAGTCTTTACAGCGGACGTTTGTCCGAGTTGAGTTTTCAAATGTGTCGCAAAAATCGTGTAGTAATTCGCTGATTCCGTATTCACCCGGCCTCGCCGCGTTGCAGAGCGCAGAGAGCGGCCCTGAGCTGCTGCAGCGCGAGTGTTTATGATAGAGGGCGGACAGCGGTAATGAGACATTAATTCGGCAAACACGCGATCTCCGTGAGGAGGTGGAGGCGCGTGGAAGAAGGGGGGGGGGGCAGAGAGTGCCCCTCGCAGGCCACGCTGCGCCCTTTCCCCCCACCGTTAAGGAGGTGTGGCGTGGCCGTGGCGTGCATACCCCATCCTGCACTCTTATTTGGACCACCGGCCACTCTACGTTACCATTCGGGGAACATCAAAGTGGACTCTTAGAACATTTAATCCACCCCCCCCCCCTTTCCCCTATCTTTTACTTTTTAAATACAACCATATTCTCCGTTTCCCTGATGACGTAGCTGTTTCTAGTGAAGCCCTGCCATCGTATTCGTATGTTTTTCGCCTTTCTTCCGCGAAGCCAGATTTCGTACCCTCCCCCCCCCCCCAACTCTCTCTCTCTCTCACTTACACACACACACACGATCTCACCCACCCGCGACTCTCCCACCTCCTCCCCCCCTTCCGCTGCACAGCAAAAGCGGAACCAGGACCACTGGCCGCGCGGCGGGACCGTCAACCTCGACGTGCAAACCACTCAACAAACGGGAGGCGCGTCCGCCATGGCAGCGACGCCGGGGCACGGTCCCAAGGGCGGGCGGTAGTACATACTGCGGGCGGGGGCAGCGCGGGGGCAGCGCGGGGGCAGCGCGGGGGCAGCGGGCGGGGCCCAAGGATGCGCAGCGCTAAACACCGCCTGCCAGCCGGCGGCCGTGGCGGCGGGGCGCAGCGCCGCAGTGCGGGGAGTCCGTCGTCCCGGCCGTCCCGAGGACGCCGCCTTCCCTCTGTGTGTGTGTGTGTGTGTGTGGCTCCAATTTAAATAATTAGTTCGACACTGTTGCCCCCCTCGCCCCCACCTCCCTCTCTCTCTCTTTCTTACGGCCCGGGGAGGCGGGCGTATCCGACGAATAGGAGGATAAGGGGTCGTCTTCTAGTTCTTAAGCGGTCTGACCCGATACGGACGCGGTTCCAGGATATGCAACGCACAGCTTTGTTGCAACATTTATTGCTTCCTTTCTAAGAGTGTCAAACTTATATCTATCTTTAACGCAATTATGTTTTCGCTTTGTATTATTTGTGTTTTGCAAGAACGTCAAAATTATTTGTTAACTCTACTAAATGGTACGCCCTTAAGGACCACAATAATTTTAGCATTATTTGTAATTGCCGAATGTCGCTCAGTGTTTTTCTTTTCTTCTTTGTGTTGCGCCGGTGTGGGAACCGCTGTCCAGCGGAGCACACGTGTGTGTAAACGCTCACTCCATCATCATACGCCACACGACGGCCGAAAAAAAAAGAAGAGGAAGAAGATGAAATAGACAAAAACAGCCATAAAAATACCGCTCGGCCGGACGACAGGCCCGCCAACACTAATAGCTCAGCGGATCCGACCGTACGCCTTTCAAACAGTACCCCGGCGGTGCGCCGGCGGCGTGCTGATCCGCCGCGGAGATGCTGCCGCCGCGGGGCCGCGGGGACCGTCGTGCCCCTACTGCACTGCCGCTCGCAATTTGTCTCCAGAGTCGCCGATGCTGAGATATTTGAGATCACGAGCGAGCGCGGTCGTCGCCGGGTCGGTATACGGGGCCGCCGGTCGGGAGAGAGAGCAGCAGAAGGAGGAGGACGAGCAGTGTCCTCTCGCTCGGACAATTTATCTGTCTCGGAAGCTCGGAAAGTACACTGGCGGCCGGGACCGGGCCGGTCCAGAGGAGGCGGTGGGGAGGAGGAAAAGGCTTTTACAAGCGGAGTGGAGTAATGCTCTGGCCTGCGTGCGTGTGCGTGCCCGAGCGCCTCCTCTCTTGACGGACAGCTCGGCGCCACGCTCCGCCACGCCCCCGATCTACATGTTCGATAGAGTATCAGTAGCCGGCCGGGCCGGGGCAGTGGCGGCCCTCATTAGAGATGCCGCGCTACGCCCCGCCACCGCCGCCTCCCCCGCCCACTTCGTTTATATACGCATATTGGAGAGCAGGCAGGACCCAGCAACGAATTTCGGCGTGCGCGTGGGTGATTTTAAAAAAAGAAAATATTTTATTTATTTGGAAGGCCTACTGTAAAAATAATGTCTGACTTTTTGAGGGAAAATGGAATTCCCAAAAAATCTTCAGATATGAAGAAGTCTCCTCGTAAAGTGATGGAAATTGCTTCACTTTTTGAGACGTCCTCAATCTACGGAGTTTTTATCAAATTAGATGAGTTCCTCGAAGATTTCCATTTTCCCTCATTAGACATTGTTTTCACCTTGCCGAACGGGATGAAGTGGATTGTATTTATCCTTTTCGTTTGCTTTCTTTTTATTATTAATTATTTAACCTACCACGTCGAAGGTGAAAATTATTTAAACAATATGAGGTAGCTTTTACATCTTGTTTATCCCCGTTTTCCAGGACTCCATTGATTTCGACGCCAACAGCACCTGCCTGAATAATCTCCTCCCCTTGGTCCGCGTAGCGGAGTTGCTCACCCTCCTCAAGGACGTCACCGATTTCCTTCATTCAAGAAATTTGCTGGTACTGTTCGTTTTTTGTTTTTTTTTTGCGACTCGCCCCGGGTGTTTGTAAGCCCCCCCCTTCCTCGCAGCCCAACGTTGCGTGGACGCCCTGGCTGGCGGGCGGCCCTGACGCTGGGTCGGCGTCGGGAGGATAGACGAAATAAAAAGCGACGACTTGGGGATGATCGAGGGGGAGCGAGAGAGAGAGCGAGAGAGAGCGAGCGAGCGGCGCTCCTGCGTGCTACTGGACGGTACATGCCATGGACCGCAATTACGCCCCTCCGTCCGTCCGTCCGTCCGTCCGTCCGCTGGTCCGTCCGCCCGTCTGACTGACAACCTGGCCTTCTGAATCCTTCGATGCCCCGCGGCTACGGCGGCGGCGGGGCGTGGCGGCCGGGCGCGGCATGCAGGCGGGGCGGGGCGGGGCGGGGCGGGGCGGCGCAGGGCCTCCTCGTGGCGCTGAGGACATGCACACCCGCCGGGAGCCGAGCCTGCCACGCAGCAGATTCTTTCCAGCATCAGCGACAAGACGCACACAACAGGCACACAAGCACACGCACAGACACACACACACACACTCACACTCACATGCATACGTACACACACACGCGGCGCGCTCAAGCAGACGCCTTCGGCAGCAAAAGAAGTTGTACAGCGAGCGTCGTGTGTCTGTCGTTATGCTAAACGGCGCCGGGAGCCTGCGACGCGCACCCACGCCAGCCTCTGCGGGCGCCTATCGCGCGGGCTCCGGCAGGGGGGGCTCTGCGCGTGGCGCTACCAACCTTAGCGAATAAACTCTTTTTAATCCAATCACTGGACCCTGCCTGCTCAACCCTACCGACCTTCGTACATCCCTACCTTCACGTTTCACCCCACCCTTCCCTGCCTGCTCAGCACGTACCTTTATACCCTGGTCGTTCGACCCCTCTTTTTGCCCCACCCGCGCGTCACTACTAGAAGAAGCCCCCTTGGTGGCGCCACCGCCGAACTCGTCGCCGTCGCCCTCCCTCTGCCGACACTCACGCTTACGCCCTCGGCGCGCGGCGAGACCAGACTCCTCGGCCCTGGTCACTTCGCTCAGCTTCGCTCACTCACTCCGCCTCGTCACGCCCGTGGTCGCGCCGAGCCGAGCGCCTTTCATCGGGTGACCGAATCCCATTACGCGTCCTAATGTAACCTGTCCAGTATGTGCCGCGCCGCCACGCCCAGCCACGCCACGCGCTCAGCTGTAAGGCGCGTGCTGCCCCCCGCCCCTCTGCCCCCGCAGCTGCAGGTGCCTGCACCTGCCACCGCGGCCGCTGCAGCTGCCGCTCTAGTAGCCACAGCTCTATCAGCTCCATACATTTGCAGCGACTGACAGGTACAGCGAGCCACGGCCTGATACACTCAACCATTACTCAGGGCAGCCCCGCCACGCCCCGCCACGCCCCGCCACGC